CATTACAAATAACCCTATTATAAGTATTCTCGTAATGCGTCTACAACGTACCACTATTAATGAGGGTGATGTAGGATACCTTTCGTCAATTCATGTGTACATTTTCCTACGTTAGGCTCTACAACAGGCACAGCAATCTGAGCTACTTGCCCGCCTGGGTATCCAGACGCTTCTGGAAACACAGGCTCTGCCTCCGGTTCCTTCCAAATCCAGAACAGGGGTGTACTTGCGTAAGCTATTGTTGGGAAGTTAAGTACAGAGTGTTCACGAAATATCTTGAAGAACGATTGCTTTATACGAAAGTAAGTTTGCATGATGTTTTCTATTGAACACCCCATATTTGAATCATTTTTTATAATTTACTGCATATTTATTTCATGTTAATTTTCTTTCAAAATTATTCCTTATATAAACATTTTTGCCAAGAAGCAGGAACATGACTGCAGGATTCTTCGATTATTTTGTTTTTTGTTACGTTCTATTACATCATTTTTATTAGTTGTAATGAGTAATAATGTAAAATAAATTAACAAGCATCTCTAAAGGGCAGAGGGCTATTTTAACAGACAAGAACCTTCGTTAAAAATATTGACCTTAACGTGTGCAGTTATTGCACATTTACATAAACGCAATAACGATATCAAGATCCCATCTTCATTTTCTTTTCATTCTAATGCATCAGTTTTATATTCGTTCTGTCCCTTACGCAGTAGAGAGAAAGGAATGTGATGCTGAACAAAAAAATGGCGAATTTTGTGCAGAAAACATGATTACAGGGCCCTGGTCCTGGCAGTGGATAAATGAAGTTGCAAAATTTAGAAAAAATCCTCTAACACGTGTAGCCAGAATCCATGTTCTGCGGGTCCTTCATAATGAAAGGTCGATGGACGGCAAACGTCAGTCTGTCCGTCTGTCTGTGAACTACGCACGCGGCTAAAACGAAAACGTTCCGCCGATGTTTTTCCAAAATTGTTATTCCCCAATCGATCTAGGAGGTGCCGCGTTCCCTTGGATTTAAAACCAATATTTCAATTGTAGGTGTTACTTTATATAATCTCCCGGAGACATTTTCAAATTAAAAAAAAATGGCACATCATTTTTATTAAATTTTATTCATTTTTAATTTTAAAGAATCTGGTTTAATTTTTTTAAAGATCCTGAAGTTTCGAAAATTGCAAAATTTCAAAATGTTTTCTCGTCTTCCTGTAACTAAAATATTAGATATATTTTTTCCCTTAATAATGTCTCTTCCCTTAATATAGATTGTGAACTAAGGGCATGTACAATTTTTCGAAATTCTGAGTATGTTTTCCGTAATTTTGCATGAAATATTGGGAAATTTTAATCTTGTTTAAATAATTGGATAGTCTGAAGGACTCTTCAATATTCAGATATTTGTGTATTTTTCAGGCAGTTGGATACTACTTAATATCTCCTAATTTCTTCTCACAATTTCATTCTCCGTTTCTTACATTCGAACTTTTGAAATACGTTTACAAATAAATCTTGTATAAATCATTTAAAACTTATTTTAAATCGAGTCTTTGAATTCAGTTAAATGTGAAAAAGAATAATTTCCTTTTAATAATTATGTGTAAAATAAATAGTAATGCGTGCCGGAAATTTTGATCATATAAATTTGGGTTAACTATTAATATTTTTCTATACATTTTTAAATTTCATGCTAGCTTTAGCAAGAATGCTAATTTTAACAAAGATGTATCCCATACGAAGTAGCGGCGTGTTGCTTGTTGTACACCGCACTGACAAAAGAAAGCATAATGACGCCCGCCTTAATTGAACGACATTAATAAAAATAATATTTTTATGGCTAAAATACGCATCGTGCATCGTCGGTACATTCATGTGAAGTGAATACACTGAATTCAATGTCAGAAAGCTGTTTTCGTTTAAACATATGAATTTAAAAAATATATATTTTTTCACGCTTCGTATGTGTAAGAACTTTTCATATAATAGTTGACGTGTTAGTCAGAAATTTTCTTATTATAATATTTCATCGCCATTGACAATATACCGAGAAAGGGCATACTGTTTGCAGCAATACTAGTTTATTTTAGAAGAGAAAATGGGAATTTGTTCGATCTTCCACGATAGGACAACGTGGAAACATGGAAAGCTGTGGTAAGCTAGATTGCGTTCTTAAAATTCGTTAGTACATCTTGCATTGGAAAATTTCTATTTTCGACATTACACAAAGTAATAAATATATCCTTGCTCTGTGTACAAATGTATTTATGATTAACATAAAAGCGTTGATCGATTTACAAAGTTCACAGAAATGCGCTATTGGAATGATTAAAAATTGAATTTCGTTATGTATTATTGCAGGAGGATGCCTTAAAAAAATGTAGCGAGAAATATAAGAACGCTTCATGTAAGTACTTTAACTTACTATTATCATTAATTATAAAAAAGCATTATTGTGCATACATAGTAAATAATAAAAATGGTTACAGTACAACATTTATTCCCTAACACTGTTTTAATCCTTTTCTCGAAACTAAAAATACAGATAAATATTTCGCAAAACCATATTTTCAATTTTGTTATGTTTAGAAAAACAATTCCTTTTCATTAGTTGTAAGTATCCATCTGTTAATTTTTAGCCTCTACGTGCTTACGTAGTGCTTAAGTAAAAAAAATACAGTATTGTAATGCTGCAGTGAAAAGAAGCGAATTTTCTGCTCAAATGCCGCGTATTGTTAGGCACTGATATAAATAAACTCAATTAATCTTAAATCTCTTATGTAGTAAAGTACTTCTACTATAAAATACTAAATACCCTGATTTCTCTAATAAATAACGCGTTTGCAATCATAGTAAACTAAATGCCACTTCAGAAAATGTTTTTATTACCGCGCCAAGAAGGAAAGAATAAATAGAATGTCCCACCAACATTCAGCCTCCAATAACTTCTAAACGGTTCACAATATCGAAGTGCAGTTATTTCACACAAGTAATATGCCGTAGAGATATTTCATTAACATTTTCGATAAATTCATTAATCTTTAATTTTTTATATAGAACTACATATTTTTAATGATCTATTCTGGTAAGAAAAATATATAGTTCCTTTTAAAAAATAAAACAAAATAAAAATCGTAAAACTAAATTAATACTTTACTCGAATCAAAAAATACAAATTAAAATTTCTTCAAAAGATGATGTAATTTTTTTAGTTTGAAAAATCAAATTTCATTTTCTTTTAAGTTAACTATCAAACTTTTAATTTACAATATTTACGTACTTACGTTGCAAAAATAAAGTACGAATATTGTGGAAAATCCACTGCAAAACTATATTTTAACAAAACTATTTTGTTTTGTTCGCCGCCTACTTATTAAATGAACTGAAATAATCTTGATCTCATATGTAGTAAATTGCTTCCTCTCGCACATTGGGTATGAAGTCAGAATCCACATTTGCAGTTACTGATACCGAAAATTCGATTGACGGCAAGACCTCTGTCAACCGTACTCCTGTTAAGAGTGCTTTTTTTGCAAGTGAACATGCAGCTCTTGCATAAGCCGACGACCCGGCCCTGGTCGTGAGAGCTGTATCACGGACTGATGTAGAGTATCATGTCGCAGCGGTGCTGGAGTCTCACGGAGGTGTGACAAGGCCAAGTTGAATATCACTGTAGAAAAATCCAAATTTATGGTTATGACACAACATATAAAAACGGCATCTTGCAAGAGAGACCTGCCAATGACAGGCCACCTATAGTTGACTTACAGAGCTCGGAACATCAAAGTAACATTTTCCACTACATATCTGAGAAGTGACTTAGATTAACAATTAAAATTTAATGGCTTTCTAAACAAAGTTTGTGCCAAAGCTGATGAAGCAGAGATGAATTGCTGGTACTGAGACAATGTTCAATCAATCTGCAATCTGTACCATTTACAAACGTGCGTTTATAAAATAATTATACTTTGCTTCTGTTTGGTTACGTAAAACTCAAAAAGTACTTATTAATAAAGAACTGATCAGAGCACAAAGATCAGCTCTCCCAGCTCTCACGCAAGAATTATCCTTCAGATAGCGGCTCAACTCAACACGCGTAGATAAATTAAACAAATGCCTAAAATTACGACCGGGAGAGATGACTCAGGGCATCAACTGCTGTCCCTCTGCACGGGTGGTCCTAGGTTTGAGTCCCGAAGATGGCAGGATTATCGACACTAGTTTGTAAGCTAGGTAGAGTACAGTCGCTGTCTGGAGAAGAACGCTAGCGGCCGACTGCTCCGATCGGTAGTTTTCCATGGTTTTCTGCCATTAGCGCCAGGTGAATGGCGGTGCAGTATCGTAACCACGGAGCAAGGACCGCGAGTGATCTTTCCTTCCTCTTCGTCGTCCTATCCTCACCCCTTACACACATTGACACTAACATGTTCTGCAGATGCCGGGAGATCGTTCGGGAGCTTAGAGCTGGTTCCAGATTGGGCGGTGCCTCGCTGGTGGGAGATACCTGGTTGGGCAAAATGCATCCTTGGCTATCCCGAATGAGCCGCGTCTCGGTCAATTGGACTGACGCCACAGCAAGATGGTCGAAACGTGAGCACAATTGACCGAGGCGCGGCTCATCCCGGATAGTCAAGGGTGCATTTACATTAACCAAGTACGCCTTAAAAATGTCGTCACTGCTATGTTTGTTAAATTGGCTGAATTTTTGGAAATTGAGAAAGTTAAAAGTAATGCGAGTAAATTTGAGCTGAGTTAGCATCGTTAGTTAATACTACTGACATATTTTGACTTCATTTATTATAAGAATTATTTTTGTCATAGTTGTGTCTAATGGCTTTCGCAGTTATTTACATTATAAACTTAATGACCAAAATATATAATACATTTTTGTTGTTCAAAAACTATTACACCATTACATTACCTTTTTTGAAACTTATATGAAATTATGATTAAAATAAGTGTGATTTGATGTAAAAATATAAATCAAAGATTAATGTAACTTTTTACAGATCTTACTGATGGAGTAGAGAGCTGGCCCAATCACGAAATGATGGTAATTATTGAATTTACTGGAGCATTTTGAATCACAACTTTTCTAAATAACCACATGTTATAAAATGGCCCATTTAGATCCTCTAAAGGGATGTGTAAGCATCCCTTGTTCTTTAACTCAAAATTACATGCTGAAATGTCACATGTTTGATTTCTATATTTTAGAATGCTTTAACTTTCATATTATAGTGGATAGTCTTATCTATCTAGTTCATGATAAAGAGCATGGCTTAGTACCCAGCATTGAAGTATTACTTTCTGAGTCAAGCGCTTTCCATTTCTGTACATGTTCCAGTTCATTATCGTTAAGACGTCAGTCCTTTATCTGATTCGACGAGAAACAATAAAACGCAATTCTTATTCATAACAATAGGGGAGGGCAATCCCTGTAGGAACCGATTGATATTTGCGGTGCCTTAATCTTGGCCGCTCCCATTTTCACTTCCACTTCTCTTTAACGACCTGTAAAACGGAAGTGTGATTCCATACTGGTTAAATATGTTCTGGATTTATGGTTGGAAACATTTGACGGTGTCTCAATGAGAGTAGAAGGTAAGGAAGTAATTTTACGCCGAATCAACTAAATTATATAATCATGGAATGCTACCAATAACCATACTTTTTAATTTTTTCTCCATATATAAATATACTCTCTATACATTTAAACACGTCGCAATAGATTACAACTTTTTTACATTTCTACGAGGACTATGCACTGTTTATTCATACATTTACAATTCAGTGATTCATCCAGTAAGGTCGGCCATTGGACTTCACCACCCATCCATCCCCCCGTTTCACTCCTTCTGAAGCCAAGACGCTTCAGAGCCACATTTTGAAACAAAAAGTTAAACAATGCATAACTTTTAAATTAACTTAAATTATTTCCTTAAATAATAAAGCGAACTACCTCCTTTCTTCTAGTATATACTAACACCTCAATTTGAAATTACTTTGGGATTGGTAGTTAAAAGGTCGTTTAATACTTAACGTGTGGGCGAAAAACGCGTATGAAATATGCACGTTCTGTATAATGCATGTGAGATAGTGATAGCAAGGATATTTTCTTGTTTCTGAAAGGAAATTGCATAGTTTTCGATACGTTGTGGATATTAAGGGCACCACTTTGTTACATTTTAACTTTTTAAATTAACAAAAATATTTATTTTTTAGTGTCGGATCCACTGCGCAATGGAAGCTACGGGATCGGTAAGTATAAGATCACAATTAATTTATTTTCGTAAATTACTATTTGACAAATTGAAAATAGGTGTACGTAAATTGAAATAAAAATATTTGATAAAATTTAAATGTAATTGTTTGTTAAAACGAAATAAAATATATGTTAAGGGCCGTCCATAAACTACGTCACATTCTTAGGAGAGAGAGGGTAATTAACTTTATATTTATTCTCACGCAGGGTTTCGGACAACATGGTGGAAATTTAAGATAATACAAAATTTTTGTAAGACTTTCTTTTATTTTCTCTTTCCAAGAGGACTCTGAATCGATTGGAGAGAAGTGTGTATATTAAGAAAATATTGATTTTCCAACTGTGTCGGACAGTAAAGTTGTAGAGGGCACTAACCTGAATTTGCATTACGGTGCTTCGTTGACTAATACAAATACGTCTTATAATGATTAACTTAAAATGGTATTTTAAATATATTTTATAAATTATTATCAAAAAATTACTGATTTGAAATAAAGTGTTGATTGTGATAGAAGTGTTAATTATTTACTATATATTTAACTTTTCAAGTGGCTGGAGAGAGGGGTTACAGTTTAGTATGTCACACTAGGGAGGTTGAAGTTATCTTTTGCAATTGTGACCAAGGGAGGGAGGAGATCAAAAAATGTCAAAAAACGTAACATAGTTTACGGACGGTCCCTTACAAGAAATATACATATATCAACGAAGAGCACGTTCGAAATGTAAGTGCTTTTATACCACAAACTCGAGAAAGTATCTAATGGTGTCCCTACAGCACACAAATTGCAGGAAAAAATATTTTTCGTTAATGATCAGTATATTTTTTATATTTAATTGAAACTTCAAATAAAAAAAATATTTCGTGCTTTTCATTTAATTGTGTTATACTCTATTAGAACACACTCTTTAAATATAAAATTTCTGCTGTAAACATTTCTTCATTTTAGTGGACAGCAAGTAACAGCAAAAAAAGTATTATGGAACGCCGATATACACAGAACGTAACAATATTTTATCATTGTTTCTTTGTGTGTGATAATGGGTTAATTTTGATTTTCACAGATATCTGGAAACAAAATCAATCATGAAGCAACCATGAAGAAACTCAGAATACTACCAGTTGATTGGACGAACGAAGCGGATTTCATAAAAGATGCTGAGAAGTGTAAAAATTTACCTCGTAAGTTATCTTGTATCATGTGTGACGACCCACTTTTGTCATCACGATTAGGTACCGTCGCACACGTCCTATGCCTGATACCGCAATGGATTTCAGGACGCACGCGCTAAAATGTTATTTATGGGCTCCAGGCGTATAGGAGCTTGAAATACGGCTGAGGCAAAAAGACTCTCAGACGTGAGCTGCTCTGGGTCGAAGGGTTGCAAATTTACTATGCTACTTAAAATCATAAGCTTGTAAGTTTGTTTTAAGTGTTACCCTCCAAAGCAGTGGTAACTCATTTACTTAAATTGAATTGTATTTCAAAAAATGGAATTGCCGCTAATTAATTAAAAATTTCCATCTCCGGAAAATTGCAGGTTCCTTGACTACAGACAGGGCCTACAGTGACAGATTTGATGTTTCTTCACATTGCAGAATTCGTAGCATATTCGCAGGACTGTATCGCTCAATCTAGGCTACGCGGCGATGGAATTGGATGCGCGCTCTCGCCTGGAAATAGACACGTCCCAGCGTTTATCAGGGCCCTCTTTTAGAGCGATCACGGTATGTGAATAAACTCGCCGGGTGAGGGCTTCAAACGTCACCTCCCCACGTCAAGACTACCGATGACGGCAGGCAGCGCACCTCTGCAGGTGCCTTTCGGACGTCAGTGCGACTCGCCTGCAAAACAGAATCAATTTGGATTTGAGTACATGATCAGGTAGTTTAGACGAGCAGATACACACTATTTATATTCTGTCTAATGAGAGTTGATCAGTATTTGATGATTTCCGGAGATGTTATAGTGACTGAGTCCGCTCTTCTGGAAGCAAATTTTGACAAAAAGTAAAATGGCCATTTCATGCACCACAAAAAAACTGTTACTAAACGCATTGAAATATATTAGGAAGGGGAAAATTATAAAATCATAACTAAGAACGTGCATAGTTTTGAAGGTTTTGGTGCCACCTGAAAAGTCTGGAATTCATTCTAGTTTGGTTCTCGTAAGAAACCCTTCAATTACTTCTGTGTGAAGAAAAGACAAAAATGAAAATGTGTGACTTGACGGATGTAGAGAACATTTCGACATCCCTGTTCTGCCCAGTTACGAAATCGCACATGGAATTAGCACGCCAAATATTCAGCCCGTATCATGCCATGATAATTGAAATGTAGTCGCTGTTTGTGGTATTGCTGATGAGATGTTTTTACATTATTCTAGAATCAAATAATATAAATCTTCTTTGTCACGTTAGATTTATCAAGAGGACCGGCTTTCGAGGGTCACCGGCTTTGTCACCGGCTTACGTGACTCAGCGCCTGAATTGATACCAATGCAGTGCCTCTGTCCGGGACGTTCTTGGGTTCGAGTCTCGGCGGCGGCAAGGATTTTCGATGTCGGCTAGATCCAATTCAGCAACTGTGTATTCTATCGGTCGGCTACTCCGATCGGTAGCTCCGTGGATTTTCTGATCAACACTAAACAAGTGGCAGAGCAGTACCCTAACAATCCTACCGTGAACCTCGCGCGATCTTTCCTTCCCCTTCCTTGCTCTATTCTCACTCCTTTCCTATACACACACTTACGTGCACTACACATGTCGGGAGACCGGTAGGGAGCTTAGAGCTTGTCCCGACTGGGGCGGTGCCGGCTGGTAAGGGATACCTGATTGGCCCTACTATCATTACCAGTTGACGTGTCTAATCACTAATTAATACTTTAATCGATAGCATAACCATCATCATCATCATCATCATCATCTCTGTCCTTCCACCTTTTTCAGGATGACGGCAAAGCCCTCGAAGGCTATTTCTTTTAAATCAAAGTTGTCAAATACGATTTCTATTATTTCATCAATCACAATTTGTTAATGAGTTTTTAAAATAATTCCAGTTTATATTGTAAGAATTCAGCGTGAGAGGAGGAGAAGGGGATGGAGGTTTTATTAATTTAGTTGTTTTAACAACTGGGGTGTGGTCTGAGTTTAATTCATGATGAACTGTGGAGTAAAATGGGTCTTTCAAATTTGTTACGAGTATTGCTCTATCGAATATATCTGTGTTTTTATTGGGACCATACGGGAAATGGGTCGGTTCTATGGGCGTAAGTATTTTAAGCTGTATTGTGTTTTGTATTCTGTTTAAGTATTCACCGGCATGGTTTGTAGTCCGACATCCCCAAGCAGAATTCTTTGAGTTTAGATCTCCTACAATGATGAAAGGATTGGCAATTGTAGTAATTTATTGGTAGAGGTAGTTTTATTTTTATGTTGAGTGGTTTATACGTCGTGACTACAGTTAGTGTTTGATTATTGTTATTTGTTACATTTAACCCAATTTTTTCAATACCTGGAGTGAGTGGCAAGGTTTTTTTTGTAGTGTTGAATACTAAACGTAGTCAAAATTAAAACACCACCTCCATAATTTTCGTTTCTGTCGGCCGATGATTTTGATGCCTAGTATTGCTGCTTGTTTTGTTTGGGCTCAAATGCTGTCTCGGTTGATGCATGCAATGTCTATCTTTTTGCCTGTAGGAATATGTTCTATAGTTTCGCTTTTTTTTTTTTTTGTTTATCGATGCCCATTTTGCATTCCAACGGGAATGGTTAATGCTTTATGGTGTAAGTGTTCTATAACTGTTTACTAATTGTGGAGCAATGGACTTCTCAAATACTTTTTAGTTTATTGTTGACATTACAGCGAGTTGATGGGTTAACATGTGATTGCTGATAAACTTTTGTGATGTTGGTAATGAAGGAGTTATTGTTCTGGTATTGGCTTAAAATTGATTGCTTTGTTGCTGGTTTGATATTCGTTCATGATAAAACATTATTTGCATTCATTGGTTGATAGTGATTATTAATTCTTTGAGTGAAATTAGGAATATTGTTAGTTGTAGGTAAGGATGGGAAGTTTGTTGAGTCATGATTGGGTGATGGCGTGCGTGATTGTCGGGATCAGGGACTGGAATTTACATTATTGCTGTTATTGCTGTTATTTTCCACTATGTTCCTATAATATGAACATTCTTTTGACCTGAGATTAGCCCTGTGCTTCCCCATGCAATTCTTACAAGTAGGAGTTGATTTCTTTGATGGACAGTTTGCTGAAAGGTGTTTTTTGCACAGAACACACACGAAACTTCGAACTTACAGTAATTTCTACTGTGTCCAAAGTCTAGACAACGGTAGCACTGAATGGGACCTACAGTATTCTTTCTTCTTTTCGACTTTACTATCGAGCTGCAAATGTATTTAAATTTCAAAATACTTTCTATTTTATCGTTGCCGTTGAACTCTACAGTGACTACTGAGATAGGGGCATTGTTCTCGTTTAGTCTTGTGACCTTTGTAACTGATGGAAATTGAGATGCGATGTCATCAAAAATTTCGTTTTCCGGAATTGTGAGAATGTTTTTTATCACAATTGAATATGTCTTGACACTGGGATCGGAATAGGTCTGGAATTGTTTATTAGAATTTATAAAATATTTAACAGCAGCTCTGAAGTTGGATATAGTGGTGAATTGTATTTTAATTTTATTGTTCTTGAGTTGAGTGGTAAAGTTTTCTGTTAACTTAGCTTTGATTTCCTTTACAAATTCGGCATGGTTGTTAATTCCTGTTATATGGATATGGGGGGATTTTTTTACTTCCACTGAAACTCCAGGTAACTCTTTATTTAAAGAACTAAATCTATTTGACACATCTACATTATAGTGTTTTTGCAAGTTGTTATCGGGGTTCAGCTCTGAGGAAAGTTCTGTCGAGGTCATGCGTTTGGCGTGTGTATCACTGGCGTCGCCTCTGTCCTCGCGGTTTCGCTTGCCTTGCATTTCCTTGTTTTGTTGCGTCTCTGAATAGGTTGATCCGGTTGTTTGTTGTTGTGATGATACTTGCCCAAATTCGATAGGCGCCGACGATGATCCAGTCGTATGGAGAAACGATGAATGAGTGTTTGTTGCGTGCTGGGACGTGCTCTCCTCAATGTATCTCCATGTTGCTGCCCGTAAATTCAGGCTGCTTTACTGCGACCGCCATGTTGGTATGATATTCCTGGATTGTAAAAATTGATTTTAGGGCTGAGAAAACTACAATGCCCTGTTTGCTGAGACAGATCGATGTTGACACTAAAATATCGTGCACTAACACTAACACCACTTCCGTCAACTTAATACTGTTTACGTTACTAGCAGCGAAAAAAGTTTCCACCACTGTTCGGCGAAACGTTCGGAGCGATGTTGCTCGGTCGAGAGCGCAGATATATTTTCGCAATGTGCGAAACATCCCTATCGATTCGTAATTCGTGTTGACGACGTCTTTCTTTATTATTTACAAACAATGGAATCATGACACTGATTGAAATCCATTTACTTTTGAACAACTAAAGCATTCCTAGTTATTTTATATTAAATTTTTATTCTTTACTGCACATTGCGTTTGACTCTCGGTGTGTTAAAACATAGTGTATGCAACACGAGTGCGAAGTGATTTCCGCATTCGCCTCTTTGTCGTCCATGTTGCACTCGGACTACAAACTCGACTGGTGTGTGAATCACCTTCTTCGTGTCCTTGTTATGTAAACTACCGTTATTGCTACTAAAATCAGAAAACGTAGATTTTTTTACCATACGAAATAATTCATCCCTATTTAGCACTTGTTGAGCACTCATGAATTCTATATATTAATTCTGTGTAGTAATTCGGCTAATGTCTACTAATTTGATGAACCTCTTTCTCTTTTACAGCGTCTTCGGACAAATGCGAAACAGCTTACAATTATCATCAGTGTTTGGCAGTTATTCGTCGGAAGGTAAGGGTATTTACTAAAATTGCCAACAATTTTATACACATATTTTTTGATTATTATCTTTTTAATTTCTCGCTTCTACTTACGCAGTATTAAGTGTTTGTAGTGCTGTAAGATTAACAATTTTCAACATAAAAACTCTAATTGCCAGTTCGTGGTAACGAAAAGGGGATAAAACGTAGTCGCAATCCCTTGAATTTAAAAAATCAATATTTTAATTTTTGAGGGAATTTCACAAGAAACCCTTGCGACATTTTCATTTTTTTTAAAAGCTCGTGATTCAAATTTTTACTTTCTTGTTAACGTACATATGTATGGAGTAATATGAATAGTAAAAAAAGTTATGAAATGGTGCACGACAAATCGGCGGAGTTTTGACAGAGAAAGTTTCATTCCCGGACCATGATAAGGAAAAAGTGGATAAATACACTAGCTAAATTAAGGGAAAATATTCTCTAATTTTTGGTGTAGCCAGAATTCCTGTTTTGTGGAGTCCATGATACCAAAAAACCGTTTGACGACAAAACGTCCGTCCACCTTGGTCTGTCAATTCGTCTGAGAACATCACTGAGAGCTCAATTCATACGTACGACTTTCACCAATTGAAGAAACCGCTGTCCATCTGACTCCAGTCGAAGCTTCGTGATTTTGGGAAACATTGTTTAAAATTTGGGGGTACTTTACCTGAAGCCCTAGCAACATTTTCTCAAAAATATCTCCAAATTACAAAAACCTTATTGTTAGAATAGAAAAAAATACACTTATAAATGTGGCATATGTCCGATGCTCACTGTTAACTCTGAATTTTCGAAAAGTTTTGAAGTTTGAATTTTTTTTCAGCAAAAAACAAAATTTAAGATAGATCTTTTTTCTTCTAATAAAATTCATGTGATCATTAAAGTTATGAAATTTCTTTCAAAAATTTAGTTGTTTTTGCGCTATATTGCGTTCAATGTGTTCGGTTTTAAAGAATAACAAAAGCAAGATTTTCTAAAAAAATGACTCCAATTTGTTTTTTCTTAACTTTTGGTAATGATACTGCTAAATGCACTCTTAGAGATGATATAAAACTTTATTTTAATCTTTTCAAAAATTGTAGAAATTAAATTTTCATGTTGTCTCCCACGTCGTTGATATTTGCATTAGCGACGGTTTATTTACAAAATTGAATTTATGAATACATGTGCTTTCAGTGATGTTATATAAGGTTTCTCAAAAACTTGACCGTTTCTTTTGAAAATGAGCTCGAATTTTCGCATTTTCTGAAACGCTCAAAAGCATTTCCAAATTATTTCTTCAAACTTGTGAATAATGCAAATTACATTGTTTAATATGACGTACAAATTGTTTTGGGGTATTTTTTCCAAAAAATACACTTTTTTAAAAAATTTCACTCTTACTTTCTAGATGTACATTTTCAGAGATATGTATGCATTATTTCCTTTGTGAGTGTAGGTGTTTTAAGTTATTCCAGTAAAGTGTTTTCGAAAACTCAAAAGTTTTTGTGAAAACAAGCTTCAAGTTTCCCTTATACAATGACGTTTAAACGACATTTTACATGAAAAGACTCCCCATTTTTCAACGACAATTTTCTTATAGAACAAATTTTTACTCTTCTAGAGTGTTTTTAAGGCATTATTTTGGTTTGATTGTTAGGAAACACAAAAATTGAGAAAGTTCAAAAAAATGTACTTTGGGCGGCGATAGATGGCAGTGGCAAAAGGATGGCAACCCCATACCAAAGTCTGTGCCATTCTGTGGTACTACTAGTTTGAGTAAATGTTGTTGCCGAAGAGCGTAAAGCACGTCTAAGAAAATAGTGCATTACTCATTTTCGTTAAAATCCGTGATTTTTCGAAGACTGCCGAAGTTCATTTTGTTTCGGCGTCTTCACATAACTGAAATATTGAAGCTCGGGGTTTGTACTTTCTCCCCACGGAGTACATTGAAAGTTATGCAATGATGTGCGAAAACAATTTCAGCAGAAAACGTATTACAGGACTTGGTAACGAAAAAATGGATTAATCCAGTTGCTAAATTTAGAACACAAATCTCCAATCACGTGGTGTAGGCAGAATCTATGTTTAATGGGTCCTCGATACCGAAAAATACATGACGTAGAAACATCTGTCTGTCTGTCTGTCTGTGAAGAACTCTAGTGGCCGTTCAACGCCTTCAGACAATTTTCTCCAAAATTGATACTTTGGGGATGAGAGTTTAAAGAAAATATTGATGACTGATTTTAGGTCAAATTTTCTTGTTGAAATTGTTTTTATTTATCGAAATGCTGCAAACATTTCTCGCAATTTGAACAACATCTTTATGACATTATGTATACAATATCTAGATAATGTCTCTCAAAAATAGATTTCATAAAGAAAAAAAATATTTTTAGCATTCTAGATCCTGTGGAAAACGTTTAACATTCGCAATATTTGAAAATGTTAAAAATTCAATAAGACTAATTGTGATATGATATCCGTCATTTTTGTGAGTGTATTTTTCTGTATGTGAGAAAAAATAAATTAGAAAGTTGGAGAGATTTTTTTGGATATTCAAAATGTCAATTTAACTTAATGTAATGTACCAGCAAATTCGAAATATCAGTTTCAATGTCCATAGGCCACGATAGGGCAGGTAAACGGAGAAACAAGAGGATGGATGAACAAACAGACTAGCAGACAGACTGACAGACAGGCAAAAAGACAAAAGGATAAATTGACACGGATAAACAGACGGTTACACGTTTTGATCTAAGCTAATTTTTTTGGTAGAAAGAATCTAAAATAGTGTACATAATGTGTTAATTATGACATAAAAATATAATTATCTCCATTGTTGGCATCTGAGACCTTTAATATGAGTTTTTTTCTAGATTGGTTATTTTTCCTCGCAATTTCATAACTCATTCTAAACTACATGAGTAGTTTGCGAGAAATTAACAATACACATCTTCCCTAAACTCTAACTATCTTAGGAAATTAACTATTTGTAAAAAATAGAAAACAATAATTAAATCAGAGACGACAGTAAATGTCTAAAGTCCGCCTCTAAATATCTATATTCATTTTCAGTTTTAAATGACATTGAATACAGAAACAGTACTATACTGCATCCTCTTTGTTGGTTCTAGATAAATGTATAATAATCTGTATACATGTATAATGTCTCCCCTACAATTAGTAGGGGAGATGTACGTACTTCCAACTTAAAAAGACGATAGCGCAATCTCGAATTGAAGATCTTATCAGTTTTACATTTCTTCTAACCGATACAATCATGGTTCTCAATTTTTAAGTTCTAAGATATTCGTTGTCTATACACATCCATTTATGTGTTTCAGTATACAATGGTCTGACTGAAGTCTGAGTGAACAATTCAACCACAATCCGGAGAAAGAAAACAAAATAATGTCATTTTGTGTATATTTCTAGTGACATTTTGAAAATAAATTAAAGAGTTTATTTCTATATTTTTATATATCACACAGTGAGGGAATGAGTATTTTCAATGCAAACAAAACTTGAGAACTAAAAACAGACTAATCAACAAGAGTTCTAAAGAAACTTTTCATTACAATTTGATTACATGCTGTTCACAAAATGTTTTTGTTCATAAACCTGTTTGTGTAAGTATTGTTCTTCATGATTTTTTTCTGTTTATACCATGCGTTATTCAGAATGTTCATTCTTACATCAGTAAAACATTCTGCAGGGAATTTCGTCATTCTGTTTTAATAAGTATTGTGACATATTTATGACTTTCTTAATATGAGAGATTTTCTTAGATTTTTTGTCTAAAAACCAACTGAGGCGGCCGTATTGAGTCACGAAAAGTATTTTAGTGTATTTGAATGTAATAAAATATGTGTTCCAAATGAATGAAAGTTTTGTGTTTAAATAACATGAAAATATCACTCTCCTACAATTATTGTGGTACATTTTATTTTCCCGAAAGATCATCTGTACACGAAAAATCCAGAAGAAATGATGCACAGAGCACACAATAACACACCACTGCCCCGACAGAAGACATCGTTCTTAGGATGAACATGAACTATAAGAATACTATCTACTATATGAAGAGATGGTAGAAATTCATTCCAGCCAAACCAGTGTCACTGCATTCTAACCTGATGTCACTGTCTCTGACCGGGAGGTCCTAGGTTTTTGTCCCAGGATTTTCGACGTTACCTTGTCAGATCGAATTTGGTCGCTGTGTGGAAGACAATTCCAGTCAACGAATGTTCTGATCGGTTGTTTTTTGTAGTTTCTCTTATCAAACCCAGGCGAATGTTGGAGTACCCTCACAAACGGACCGCGGGTGATCTTTCCTTCCTCTTCCTGGTTTTATCTTCAAACTTAATTACACGCACACTAAGCTTGTATTACACTACCACATAGCGCGACGATGGTGTAACGGTTAGCGTATCGGACCCCGTAATATAAATCGCCACGCATAAATTCAATTCAATACATATGCCGAAAGACCATGTGAACCATAGACATCCTGAGTGGCGGCGGGATCTCAAGCACTGTGGTTGGCTGGCGACTGGCACGACTGCCTGGCGGCTGTCAGTCGCTAGGCAATTACCTACGACGACCTGCAACCACCTGCCAATGCGACTGTAGTAAACTGCACTTGAGACCCTGCCGCCACGGAGTATGTCCACTGTAGTCGTGGACGAAACGTTGTCAACGCCAACTAGACGCCCACTGCCTACCAGCTCTTTTATTTACAAAAGTTACCATAAGTCGTAGAAAACCTACCGTATGAAACTCTATGTAATGGGTATACACTCATGTGAACTTTACGATACTCACTCGTTCCTCGCTCGGACCGTAATATCCCATTCGAATATTAATATCCACCATTACATCATTGTTTCATCTTGTAGGGGAGATTGAGGCAGGTTGTCACAATTTTAGATTTTTAATTTTTAAAGAGGCTGTGTTTACAGTTTCCTTTTCTATTATTAATGCATCGCATACTATGAACCCTTAGTTACATATTCTCACAAATTAGAGGCCATATCACCGTTACTGTTTTATCATTGCATTTGCACAGGATATGCCTAGAGAAGTCTCTACTGCGCAAATGCTACACGCGCTGGAAATGGAAAAGTCGTAATCTCCGCCACTGTGATGCCTTGACCTCGCGCGCGATTTGCCTAGTGTTCGCTTCCGCGGTTTCTCGGACATTATTAGCAACTGAGTTTTCCAGAGACGTGGTGAGCCTTATATCGCAAGGGGAAACCTATTGCTCACTCGATGTAGCCCATGTTACACGAGCACAAGTACGTAGTCCAAAATTTAACGTTAATTATTTACAAAACTAAACGACGAAACGTATCCAATTTTGGCAAATTCAGTCTGTACATTACATATGGGATAAGATCCTTGCATATTAGCCACGAGGTATGAATTATCCTGTATGGGTGCGCAGATCTTTTTGTAAAATCTTATGGATGTTTCGTTTTTTCAATGGCACATTCTTTGTCTCAAGTAGCGTCCTTTGTGTCTCCCTCTATAAGACCTTAAATTACTACCACGATGTGTCCTTCGTGCCTCCCTCCACAAGTGCTTAAATTACTACCGCGAGGGAGAAAAATAGGGTTTTAGGGAAAAGCTTACGACTTTTGTCTCGAAGTTTGTGAAACCAGTTTTAGGCTGGTTTCTTGCTTCTTCTTGATGTTTGCTGAACTCAGCATGGGGTTACATGCGGGTATAATATTTCGTTCTCTGTTTTCTACTCGTAAATTCTGCAAAATTTTAAAGAATTTAGTATTAAAATTATTTAAGTACGTTTCAACAAAAATTATTATAAGGTACTAATATGAACACTTCATGGTATCCATGGTACGTTTTTTAATATATTATTTAGTTATACAATTTAACAATTGATTATGTATGTTATGAGTACATCGGCTGGTATGTTTGAATACAATATTACAGTACATATACAGTACATTGACTGGTATGTTTGGTACAATATTGTTTGAATATAATTGTATGAATTACAGAATAATCTTTCTTGCTAAGAATAATTTGTAATATGATTTCATAGCACATTTCTTGTTACAATAATTCCCAAAGGAAAATAAAGTTTCTTCATAAGATTCACGCGAATCACAATACCCATCACATTTTGTAACCAAATACTTCTAACTCACTTCTCCAAACTTCCATATATATTTTGCCACCCCTATCATAATGTAAGGAGTACTCATACACGTATTTAGAACGAAATCAGCTGCTCACATTCCCAGGAATCTTGCAAAAATAATACCCAAGTCGACCGCAGCGCAACTGATGTTTATAAATGAGGTCTCTAATGAAAGAGAATTTCACGGAAACGTGACTAATTGCACTTCGACTTTAAAAATATGAAGAATTGGTTTAAAAAACGCACCTAAATTTTCATATTGTAACGACACCCACTATGTGGCTGCCCCGACTCACCTGATTACCTCGTTACGGCGATCCAGATTTGTCCCAATCACAACTACCAACGATCACAATCAAGACGCACGATTTAAATGATGGTGGTATCTGGAAGTCTGTACATCAATGCCCAGGTGTAAACTCATATTGTAAATTACACACTGTTTGATATTATACTAAAGGTGTCAGTTCGCTAAGATATTCAATATGTAAACTTCGTTTGGGCAATATTTCCATGTAACGACGTAAAGTCTAATCCTATTTAAATGTTTATAATCGTAACACATTGTATTTATTACTCATTAGTAAAAATATTAATTTTATTACTTTTGGGTCAGATTGCTTTTCTTGATGTACGTAAAAGTGTAGAAAATAATATAATACTTGTTATTATACACGGTAATTTTTCAATTTTCACACCTCAGCAAGCTAGCGCCCTGTCCCTCCAAAAACCCTCCGTTCTTCATAACAAATCCAGGAAAGTTAAATGTTGCAAAGAATAGGGTTGTACATGCTCGATCCAGTATTTTCACGTGGGAAACGTTACTTGGTGTTCTGAACGAGTATAAATCTTTTCTAATATTTTTGCGACTATCAAGGAATGAGAAAAGCTAAATGTCAAGGAAGATAGAATAACTACAAATGTTTTTTTAAGGATGTGTCAATTCTGTGAAGAACATATCTCTATAATACTGAATAAACATCTATTGAAAATTCCTAAATTTGTTTCTAACATCAATTGCATTGTTTTTTTTTGTTATTCTGTAGGTACGAAGTTATATTTAAATTTTTTTTTACAAATAAACACGTTTCGACAACTTTTCTCATTCATAGAAAAGATAGGGAAAGGGTGGGGATTAACATGCGAGAAGCCTCGCACGGGTACGCTTGTCTAAAATAAATTAGAAAAAAAAACATTTTTGCTATTTAACACAGCATTTTCATTTCGGGATTTTTTATATTTCAGTTGCAGTTTCTGTTTCAGGGCAATCAAATAGTCAACTTTAGAATTTAACACTAAATTGAATTATTACTTTTGTCACGTATTTCTAAAATAACAAATTCACCAGCTCATAATATCCAAACAGAGTGATATAAACCTGGATGTACGTAAAATTAAATATATTTTGTTCAAGCCTAATTAATAATTATTTTAAATTAATTCTTACTCGTCATTTATACCTTTCAAGACATTGGCATTAGTTTCTCCCAATCGAATTGACCACAATCGAAGCGTTGTTTAGATCATAGACATATTTAGCGTATTTTTGTGACATTCAGCTTTTTTGACACTCATTTATGTATGCTTGTTGAAGAAGATGGCTACATAACGAATATTGTGTCACAAAACGTGCTTGTAAGACTGTTGTAGTTATCTTTAACGTAAGTAAATAATAGTTTATTTTTATAGTAACTACATTTGAAAATAAATCTTTATATATAACTTGCTTATCGAAGCACAGAGCAGGTACAACGAATTTAACAGTGTGGTTAGTGCACCAAATTTTAAGGTTAAAAAATTAATTAGAAAGCTGCATAAAAAATGAGAAGTAAAAGTGGTACTTACATACTCCATGAGACGTGTGGCATATGCTAAGAGCACTATTAGCTTATATGGTCTGATTTTTTCAGATATTTCATTTTTTAAAACGTAAATCATTAAAATACTTGCATTAGTATATTTTCCTCTTTTAAATTCCCAGTACCTATAATGTATTTATATCGAAGTCAAATTCAATATCGAATTTTTGATGTCAATATATACGTGATAATTTATTATTTACAATCCAGTCAATTTACACAAATCGAATGAAAAAACTCCTGGGGTTTTGGAGCTTGATATGAATGTATGTTGGCATTTACCGCACATTACTCATAAAATCAGGAAATGTGGGGGCAAAGCCGGAGGTAGAGGGCTCGTTAAAAGTGTTTTTATAAATTATTTGGGTATATCTTTGTAACTATGAACCCTACTAGAACGTATGCTCTATATAAAATGAAAGCAAATATTTTTTCTACAAAAACATTCCCATAATATATTGTTTTTAAATTAATTATTTTAAAGGCATAGGTTGGAAAAGTGCATGTTTATATTTACAAGACCGATCTTTTGTAGAGATCCCATTTATAAAAATGATGTTAGGTGTGTTCAATGTACGAAAGAAATTTTATTTTTGTTAAATATTAATCAACAATATATATTTATATATTTTGAACAAAACGCATGAAAATTTTACATCTTCTCAAATATCACTTTTTTCAGTACAAGCGAGTAACCGATGTTATTTGGTTCGTGATTATCTGGGGTACAAAAACTGGTAATCCATAGTTTATTTGATAAGTATTGTTTATAAATATTTGGTATAGGATTGTGAACACTGCCGACACATAAATGACATAAATAATATAAGAGTACAAATATCTCAAGCAAATAATCACGTTTACGGTGCACATAGGGGGATAACTAAAACTCAGATCGTCAATTACATTGTTATACATATTTTATTATCTAAGTCAAAGAAAAAAGGATTTCGCAAATTTAAATTAGTCATGAATGAATATGTTTCTTTAACCCGACTGTGAAACCATATGGTCTATTTTGAAGCTACGTAGAAATAAAACTACGTGTCATTAAAACATTCCACTTTTTTCCGTTGATTATTTCTGTTCTCTTCGATGTTAGGGAATAAACACTCAAGAGTAATTTATGTGCATTTTTTAAACCATTTTCGATGTTCGATAAATTCTTCTACCTGGATGCAAATGAATCCCTCGAAACTTCTGGTTAAAGTTTGTTTCTTTTTTTAACATTTTCTTCTTTTTCTACAAGTTTAAGTGGCTCAGGGCATCAAATGACGTCGCGACAGAGCCTCTGATCGGCAGGTGCAGGGTTTGAGCTTCGATGGTGGCAGGATTTTCGAAAGTAACTGGATAGCTGCGTCAAATTCATTCGGTGTCTCGAGGAGACTTCTGACGGCCGACTACTCTCATCGGTAGTATTCTGTAACTTCTCCGATCAACAGTATGCGAGCAGTACCCTAACAAACGGATCATTGACCACGCCCTATTTTTCTTTCCTCTTCACCACATACTATCACACACACGCCCACACATACACATATAAACAGCCACCCACACTTAAATGCACTACGGCCCCTTGGTCCGAGAGGTGTTACAATGATGGATATTCGACTTTAGTTAAGTAGCCCCTTATTTTCGCACATACCCACGTGCACTACACTACACATAAGTACAAACTACTGTACATACTTGTACATAATATGCAAGGGAGGCAGAGGCGATTCACCACCCCGCCCCATCGGGTTGGGATGGGCCCCCCCTGGTGGGAGAATTCTGGTTGCGGAAACCCCGCGGAGTCCTCTGACAGGCTCCATGGTCCTGAATGGTCACCCGACATGTGTGAGTGTAGTGCGTGTGGGTTTGTGCAACTAAGGGGCGAGGAAAAGACACGGAACAGAAAGATAAGACCGATCGCGGCCCGTGGCCCGTTTCATTATATATTTCTCCGGCGTTCACCTGGTACTGTTCGGAGAAACCACGTATCAGAGCAGTCGAGCGCTACAATTGTCCTCCAGATTCCGACTAAATCCGACATGGCTAGCTAGGGTCGAAATCCATCACCGTTGCACCCACCAGTCCAGAGGACACCACCGCAAGAGTAGAGAGACAGGCAGAGACCCCCGCGAGCCAGCAAAGACGACTGCCCCGGCATTGAAGGAGGGAGAGAGTGCGGCGAACGCAGAAATGCCGACACGGCCGCCGATGCGCAGAGAGGAGAGACGCGACTCGCGGGCGACGGGCAGCGCGCAGGCTGCAGGAGAGGTTGGGGCCCCCCGGCGCCCCCCCCGCGCCCACCTCCCCGCGCCCCCAACGAGAGGTCGACAGAAACTCGAAGCGCAGAAAGACCCGGAGACGAACCGCCGGAGCGAGTGAGACACACACACACGCAGGGTCGGTGTGCGCTGATTGCAGCATAACATTAACACAGTAGAGTCGTGCACGTGAGTCTAAGTGTGTGTGTACGTAAATAGCTACTTAGCGAGAGTCAAAATCCATCAGCGTAGCACCTGGTCAGAGGGCCCGTAGAGAGAGATACGGAGGGGCGGCTTGCGCTGATTGCAGCATGTACATCAACTTGGACCGCAAGCTGTGGAAGTCGCTGACGGCGGAGTTCGTGGGCTGCTTCTTCCTCAACTTCTTCGGCTGCGGCGCCTGCGTGGCGAGCAACTGCTACGGCTTCGGCCCCGCTGACGACAGCCAGACGCACTTGCCGGCGGGGGACATCGCGCTCTGCGCCGCCTTCGCCTTCGGGGGAGTCATCGTCGTCAACATTGTGGTCAGTGCCCCCCACGCCACTTGATCCCATTCTGGAGTCAACATCGTGATCAGAGTCCCTCCTACTCCCCCTCCGCTTGATCCGACACACCGCAGCGCCTACAAGGTTGCGCCCGCTCTACTCCCTATCCAGTCACTACAGACTATGCCGTCTTTCGTCAACATCGTGGTCGCAGCCCCTCCAACTCACTCTGCCTGCTCTACCCCCTGATCCGCTTGATCCAACGTACAGCCGCGTCTACCAAGGTGCGCCCGCTCTACTCCCTCTCCGGTCACCCCAGGCTTTAACCGTCTTTCATCAACATCGAGGCCACAGCCCCTCCCGCTTTCTCTGCCTGGTCTACCCCCTGATCCACTTGATCCGACCTACAGCCGCGTCTACCAAGTTGCGCCCTCTCTACTCCCTATCCGGTCACCACAGGCTTTTGCCGTCTTTCGTCAACATCGTGGTCAGGGTCCTTCTCACTCATTCTGCCTACCTCACCCTGATCCGCTTGATCCGACCCTCTGCTGCGTGCCACCCTGTCCACCGCATACGGTGCGCCGGGTTTTCTCTCTATCCAGCCACCTCATCATGCTTTACAAAGTTATTTATTAACATTTTAAATATACAGTAATGTCTTAAGACGAAATAAGGCATAATTCACTTTTAGTTGAATACAGTTTACAGTAAATGTGCAAAAAGAACTTTTCACAAACACGAGATAAATCAATTTAAAAGTAAACTTTTGAAGTTGTCGATCTGGTCCTCTAGTGTGAACCGGACCTGGAAACTACTTTAAGTCATCATCCTTGTCCATTACTTATATGGTAGTTTCTTCCTTTGCGTTGTATTGAGAAATCAGATCTGTTTTCATCTATTGCACGTCACAAGTATAATCTGATAAATATAATAATAAAAGTAAATAAGCTCATAAATGGTAATATTACAAATAATACTTGTGTTTATTCAACACCAGAGCCATGACTTGTTGCCCTCGTATATTGTTCAAATCGCGAGGGCAGTACTCTCTTCAAGAGGTTGGAAACCCCTGTTTATATACATTCTTAGATAACTGAATTGTAGTGTCTGTGCTGACCGACGCGGTAGGGAGCAACGGAGGGGAGAAGGCTTTGTGACGCGAGAGAGGAAGGTCGAAAAGTGTGCTTTTGGGGTGTGGTGGTGAGCGAAGTGAGGACGAAGAAGAGAAACGGACACCGAAGCTGCTGCGCCTAGGTTTACGGGCGTCCATTTATTACACTACATTGCCGGGTAAGAATCCGGATCTGCGCGGAGACGTATATTCGGCGACACCAGCCCGCTGACCGTCGCAAGCTTGCGCTGTTGCGTGACGGCAAGGCTCCGAGAAGAGGTCGGTAATAATCGTCTTTCCTATTTTTCTCATCTTTCACCACGAACTTGCCATGACTGCGAGAAGCATCAAGTTCGCCCAGTTCGCTAGGACGTAGGAGGCTCTTGACAGTATTTCCGTAATGTCCCAAGCCCCCCCTTTAATGCATACGTTCAGTGGTTGCGTGTCATGACATCCTCCAGTGCAAATAACGGTCATTAGACCCTGTACAAGTAAAAAGTAAATACAGAGAGCAACAATTCCCATTTAAGTGAATAAGTATAATGAGTGTACAGAAAGTGCACGTAACTTTTAACTTTATGCTTGGTGCTCACGTTATATTGTCAAAGGGTTAAAATTAGTGTATCTGAATTTGTTACTTCGTCAATTTGTTTTCAAGAGAGAAGAGAAACTTTATGCGACATTTATTTTCGGCTGAAATATAGTATACGGTACAACCTAAGGAAGTTGTTTAAACTGACACTTCGCGCCGTTCCGGCGTTAACTAGGCAGAATTCTGGAGGCTTTCTTGAAAAGTGATGTCTTATAAAAGTGAATTGGTAACTATGGTGTGGATAGACTCAAGGATGTTTATAGAGAACGCGAGGACCTTAGGCCCGGGCCTCGCCGTGACTTGGATCCGGGCGAGCGAAGCAAGAAATCTTGCTTTTGAAAGTAAATTGGCCTTACAATGCGGCGGGGACAAGGCATATAAAGGGCGAACCATGAACATCTATTCGTAAGTTTTACTCATTGTTATTTGAGCACGTACAGTAATTAGGGCTTAAGTCCTGCCGTCACGCTTCTCTAAGAGTGTACCGTATACTTAACTTCAATCTTCTTTTCTTATTGTACAACGGTTAATTTTGTTGTTGTTGTTTAAGAATGTGTGTATTTGATTTGGAAATTTTCTTGATATATAATTACTTTTCTAAGACAAAGAAAAGGTATCCACGATCCTGTATATTACAAAAAATTCGTATATTTTGGCTGTTGATTCTGAACAGGTCATAGTCAGGTCGAACATGATTTTGAACATGCCAACTTCTAACATTTACAAGTAAAGTAAATAAAGTTAGAAATGGTGTCAGTGTTAGATTTTCTCTTGACACCCATTGCACTTCGTTGCTTTTTGATGTTTATGAAAATAAAATCTAGAATACATTGGTAATACACATTCAGTTGTAAAGCTTAACGTAAATAGATTACATCAAATAGTTTAGTACTGTAATATAGGAAGTATCGTACGATGGACCTGTGCAAGATACAACACGTTTGGTGATTACAAGGTCCATTTTCACATTGAAGTGCGTCTCCTTTAGTCATTTTGAGTTTCGGATCAACTTTATTTCAAACACATTGTTTAAAATAATAAGGAATCAGGAATACTTATAATTTCAAAGGTGATCTTGTATATTATTGTAATATAATTAAAAGAAACCAATGAAGAATACATACTTTTGACTGATTTTACATTTTTAATTACTTCTGCTGCAGATGACCTGCCAAGTAAATTAAACTAGACAGAGACATATTATTGACAACTATTTTATGAACTGCATACGACTGTATTCATATACATGATGCTGTGCGATATCTGGCTAGGCAAAACTAGAATACGTCTTGGTCGAAGGTACATCTTCACCGACATGCTATTTCGAAACATCTACCCCAAACCTACCATTTCCTTTTTGCAAATATCACGAAAATGAAGAAATCTGTCCAAGTGGGTGGGGATTTTCTGTTTTGTGTCAGAACTAGTGCTCACAGATCATTTTGATTTCAGATAATTGGCCCGGTCTCCGGGTGCCAAATCAACCCAGCCGTAACGATCGGGTTCATGACAGTGGGGATGATGCCCATTCCTAGGGGTCTGCTCTACATAGTAGTGCAGGTTCTCGGTTGCCTGGCGGGCACAGGGGCCCTTAGCGTAAGTAGCGCAGACATGAACAGAGAGTACAATGTGTGTTCTGAGCAGTTTAAACAAGAACTGCGTTATTAGCTGCTTGGCAGTCCGGGAGACTCCGCGTCCTAGTCAGGGGTGCCAACGTTTTGGCCGCCATTCCGCGACCTTCCTCGGTGACAATGTTTTGTTGTTTCTTCGTCGCAGAACGGCGCCAGAAATTATGGGCACCTAGGACGCGGCGTTTCTAGGGCAGCGAAACAGCTACTGACTTCTACCGCGGAAGCGTACGCTCTCAGCGAAAGAGTAATGATTTCGGTCGTCCCAAGTACCAAGGGTATGACTACCATACGTGTTCATGCCATGATATTCCCGTGATGCCATGCGATATGGCGCCGATATATAATTTATCAAAAACCTGCTTCATAATGAAATCAGTATCGTAAAGAGTATCATTATGCAAAGGGTTGCAGCCATCAAATGACAGAATTATACAATGAAAGTAGAAAAACATAATTGCCGAAACATGTTGCCTCGTTATGGAGTGCAATCATTTCACAGATCTAAATCCTCTATTCTTTCTAAATTCTCTACTCTTCTAAACCTCACGTTAGTGGCTGGATTTTCCCTCTGGAGCATTGAGCTAGGTTGGGCAAGCGCTAATCTGTCGATTGGACTTTCACGTACTGTTTGTACTTTCTATCTCTTACTTCATAGAAGTGTACTGTAATGGTGCGCCAAAAAGCTCTTGCGGAGCTCTACAATCGCAAATAGATACATCTTGTTCCTGAATATAGTAAATTACTGTCTCTAACACGTGGTGCAGTTACAATACGTGTTTTGTGGGTCCTTGATATCGAAAAATCGATTGACGGCAATTTTTTCTGTTCGTCTGTGATTAACGCTAGTATCTAAACCTTCCAGACGATTGGATACTTAGGATTCTTATTATGAGACGCGTTACAGACAATCAATCTGAAGTTTCGGCCATTGTGTTTTGGCTTTCTTCAGAGCTATACTGCTGCCTACCTTCGTCCAGTCCCCGACCACGCAGATTAATCTTCATCGCAGGATGCTTAACCTGTTCAGTTTCCTATCCTCTTCCCTTTGGCCGGAACGTTCGCTCGACCTACTGAGACGCCACTCATCCCGGACAGCCAATTATCCAATGACTTGGGAAGTGGGAGCCTAAGAATACATCTTTCGGACGATTTTCTCCAAAATTGTACATCAAATGGTGAATTATATGAATTCGAGGCCCATCGGGTTTGAAACTGATTTTTCTTAATTGTTTGAATGAATGCTATTAATAATCGAATAAATGAAAATGAATAAATGAAGATGAATCGACGAATAAATGCAAATGAATCGACGAATAAATGAAATGAATCGACGAATAAATGAAATGAATCGAACGAATAAATGAAATGACGAATCGACGAAGAAATGAAAATGAATCGGACGAAATAAATAAATGAATCGACGAATTAAAGTGAAAATGAATCGCACGAATAAATGAAATGAATCGACGAATAAAGGAAATGAATCACCGAATAAAATGAAATGAAATCGACGAATAAATGAAAATGAATCGACGAATAAATGAAATGAATCGCACGAATAAATGCAAATGAATCGACGAATAAATGGAAATGAATCGACGAAAAATGAAAAATGAATCGACGAATAAAATTAATGAATCGACGAATAAATTAAATGAATCGACGAAATAATAATTGAATCGACGAATAAATGAAATGAATCGACGAATAAACGAAATGAATTAGACGCACAAACGAAATAATAAATATCCTTATCCCTGGCAGACGCTCATCCCCTACCGCTGGTGGACACTGCACATTGCGCCCAACCTCCTGAACGAGAGCAAGGGCGTGGACATCGGGAAAGGCTTCGCGTACGAGATGCTCATGACGTTTGTGCTGATGGCCGTGGTGTTGGCGGTGACGGACGACAGACGGCCCGAGCCCCACCCACATGTGGCCCTCGTCATCGGCGTCACCGTCGGCGCCGCAGTCTTCTGCGGGGTGAGCAACTCCCTCGTCCGTGCGCACTTATACCAGTATACCTTACATATTTACGTATACCTCTATACGATACTTATACATGTATACTTTACGTATTTACTTAATGTACGTACTTATACCTGTATACCTTAATTATACATGTATACCTTACGTATTTACTTAATGTACGTACTGACACCTGTATACCATACTTATACATGTATACCTTACGTATTTGGACAGTGTTGTAGCTCCCTGGCCATGACGACGGGCTAGTCTTCAAGTAGTGTAGCTCTTTCATGCAACCAATGTTTATAAACGGGGCCTCTATAGAAAGAGACGGGATCGTGACGAAATGCACTTTGTCTTTTAAAAACGTGAATTTTTTGGGGTGGAAAGTTACTAATTATTAATGTCAAATGCAACCTGCAACATTCTGTCAGCATTGTTAAAATCTATTCAGTTAAGTAACTCCTAAATGAAGCTCTAAGGTCTTAAAACCTGATGTTTTGAGATCAATGGGCTCACAGAAACTTTCTTCTCCGCCATGATTTTCAGGACAAGATCTTCTTGGACATTCTATTACATTTTTGATGATTCGGTGATTCTCGATTCGGGACGTGGAGAATCTGCAAGTTTATGTTAAATTAAAGTAATTAATTGATATACGATGCGATTGAATTTCATAATCGTACCTTTCTGTTCAGTGATAAAGTTAAATAAGAATAGTTTATATTGATAAAGTTATATTGTAATAATGAGTGAAAATACGCTCTGTTAGAACAATTACGAGGAGTCATACAGAACATGTCACGGACGATATGAGGGCTTTGATTAAAAATATACGTGATGGACTGGGATATGTTTTTATGCATTTTAACCAACTAAACACGCTTGGTTGACAACTGTCTCTGACTCAACTGACAACTGCCAACAACTAATATGCAAAATAAAGGATAGCTTAGACGGTGAGGTTTAACATGCGAGAGGCCTCGCACGGGTACGCTAGTACCCATGCATATATGTTTTCTAAAACTAATGACCTCGGTTTAGGACATTAAGAACTTTTACATGCGCAAAGATGCGGAGATGTTACTAAATATCATAATTAAATTTAAATTTGGGGATTCTATCGTATTCGTAAGGTGCCTCAACTCACATATACGATTTAAAAAATAAAGTTGTGTTCATATCTTCAAATTACGTAGGGTACCAACAAGAAAATGAAATATGTTATTTAATACGTAAAAATAATTATCATTTAGACCCATTATTTTGAAAATCTTCTGAAACTCATAATGCTGAAATATGAGAAGTTTAATGCTTTACTTCATTGTAAAATGAAATAATAATAGGAAACTATGGAGCAATAGATTAATAAATAACATTCTTACAAAGACTTTAAATGATTGATAAGGATGTACAATGAATGAATGAAAGGTAATTTTTAAATATTAAATCAGAGTGTTTCTTAAATTTTCTTTGTTAGAATTTTGTAATTGCTCTGGTCCAATAATAATGTATTTCATCTGAATATTCAACAGTGAAAACTAAGGATAAAGAATTAAAACACTATAATGTTTTAACCAAGTAAATTTCTCTGAGAGTAATTACATATTGGTGTCTTTCCATGAAATCTTCATCTACACGGTCTCCATTCAGATGTGTAGTAAATTTATTGTGTTCACGATCTACCCTATTTTTCTCTCTATATTCATCCATAATTTCCTTAGCACGCTCCACAGCATTTTTCCAGTTTGTAGTTTACACCTTAAAAATGCAAGTAATGTATTTACAACACTTTATTGAATTAAAGACATTGAATCTCATTTTTCTTGTGATGTGTCAATGAATGTATATAATTAAAATACCTGCTCTAAAGTCTGCTTCCAAAAATGTATGGATTTATTCATTCCTTGCAAGATCTTGCAAGGCCATTCTTATTGAAGTATCCCTTTGTCTGAGACTACACATATTCAGTTACATTGAACATGCTATGGTAGGGAGTAAGCCTTGATTGAAACAGCATGCTCCTCAGCTCTCAGCATTTCATTAACAACACATCTTTGGATAATTATTTTTAGCACTTGAAACAAATTAATTTGCACAATAACTCCTTAAATGATTTTAACAGAATATAAGAAAGTTGAATATGAAAATATTAAAATTAAAATGAAAGAATATAAATATACTGCATATGTATCCTGAAAATAAATATGTATTTTTAAAATGTCATGTTTTACACAAAATGTTGGCAGTACTGGTATAATTTGCCTTATGATACCTTCATTTTAGATCTGCTCGTGGGCTTTCAGGTCAGACTTAATAATAAATCTTTCTTCTCATTGTTAACTACATACAATCATTTTTAGGTCAACCATGAGTGAAAATATTAAAACATCTTCAATAATTTTCTTAAGTCAAGCACCCTGAACACAGGACATTAAAATAAATTTAGCTCATCATCAAGCATAGCAAAGGTTGACAGAGTAGACAAATTCATAAATCAATTCTAGTTCTTTTATTAACATATTAGTAAATACACAAAACAATTATATTTGTAAGAAGAGAACTCCCAAAGTGAAAACTATAAAAATGTATCTATTAATGTTCAAATAGGCAATCAAATCTTTAACACATATTCAAGAACTCAGTCAGAAAGAGGTCATACTATATAAGTCACCACCCCAATAATAAGTTCTCAGAAAACTAAAGAATATTAACTTTCTCATAAAAATGTAATAAGCAAATAGATTTTTTCTAAATCTTTTGATGAATTCATGAAGAATAATTGAGATGAAAGATGAATAAATAACAAGTCTTAAAGATATATTTTTAGAAAATAAAATGAACATGTAGGATATCACAAAATGCTAATAAACAATTTAATTTAAAGTTAATAATAATAATAATAATAATAATAATAATACAAAGACAAGGGAGATGAAAAATGATTAGCTAACTATTGAATATTATTATGTACAGTACTGCCCTCCTACTTTAAATACAATCAAATTAATTCATATTTAAAACCATTATTTTATTGGCTTATATTCTCTAATCACAATGTTTCGCAACCCAAATAATCGCATTATCAGGTGTTTTGCAATACAATCAATTTCAAATTTGGAATAAAGTTATAAACAAAGTAAAAAATTAAAAAAAGAATTACAGTTGAAATTTTAAATAATCTATGAAAGAAAAAACTAGAATTGTTGTTGTAATAAAATTTCTAATGGTATAAAATTTTTAATATAGATATGCAAATCACACAAAATTGTCTTTTGCCTCAGGTAAGACTTTTGTGTGTGTGTGTGTGATAATATAGTGTAATGCGAAAGTAATGTCTTGTTATATTTTTTACAAACAGTTATTATTATATTAATATTACATGTACAATTATGCATTTTGTATATAGAAATAACACATAATTAATTATATATGTAACATTATCACTATATAATAACCTTATAACCATGTAATAGTGCATTATTGCATTAATACTATAGAGTAGTATTATATATGTAATGTGTAATATGTAGTGTGAAAATATAAATGAATATTATCAGTAATAGGGAGGGGGAGGGAGAGGGAGAGGGAGAGGGAGAAGAGAGAGAGTATTGAAATATGACTTTTTTGTTTCCCCAGGTGTTTGCTACAGGAACAAGTATGAACCCTGCCAGGACTTTGGGCTCAGCCATTGTGAGCGAAGAGTACACTAACGTGTGGGTAAGTTGTCGCTACCGCAGACATTTTCTACAACAATTTTCAACAACAAAACCCTCTCTAACGTTTGAGGAACTCAAGAGGCCTTTTCAACATTTTTTGAACTGAAACTAGGGATAAATTCAGAATCGTTCAGTGGCGTAGGGTAGCAAAGAACAACTAGTACATATCAGTACTAGCGCAGAACGTTTCCCAAGCTCCTATTCTGAAATAGTTGTCGCGATTTTAATATTGCTTAACATCAATATTAATCGTTTGAATGACTTCAAACGTACAGTATATTAAAACGTTGAAGTGCACTGTAACACAATCTTCTCACCGGCCGCCGAGTGAGAGTAACGAAAAACAATTTACTGTAATGAGTATAATCAATGGATTGATACATTTTTTAAAAATTTGTTGCCAGCAGTTAAGCAAATTATGTAATTAAAACACAAGTATCTTTTGTTTATCCACAATTAATAAGAATATTTTTCATCCAAAAAAAACAACGAAATTACGATTTCAAAGAAAAAGTTAAGCTGGATTGTATGTTCCAGAAATATGTTCTGGGTGGGCCAATGGGAAATCAGATATGTTTTTGGGAAATGGCATAAAATTTTCATTTACTTTTATTAGCGTTTCAACTTTCCAGCTACTGCCTCTAATTTTGCTGTTCCAGCCTTCTCTATCTGCCCAGAGGTCGACGTCCATTCTTCTTTCACGCATGACTTCAATTATTCCTGAATTTCAGGTTGTACGAGGTCTTTCTCTTTTCATTCGTCCTTGAAGGTGAATCGAAGACTTTCTTAAGCCGTCTTGAATCTGACATTCTTCTCAGAGAGCTATACCATTGCAGCGTTTTACTTCCTAATCTGTCCACAACCTATTTCGTTTGCTGCGTCCATTCCCTGATCTCTACAATTCTAATTTTCTGCATTCTAGAAACGATTGCATAAACCTATTGCTAAAGCATAAAACCTTAAGTTCGAAAGAAAGAAAATGTAATGGAGCAGAGTTACCCTCTGAGCAGAAGTGCGGATAACGACAGAGCGACTACAGAAAACAAATTAAGAGCACCTGATATCGGGTATTGGCGACGTAGTCGGCAGCTTTATTAAGCAGTCCTTATTCAAGACCAAATAAGGAATTAAGATGTGTTAACAAGACTAAACATAGGGGCCACAATTTGAGACACTGTAGAGGCGAAATGCCTGACATAGTATGGGCACGTGCTTCGAATGGATGATGGAAGGTGGCCAAAAAATGATCGAATGGACCCCTGCTGAAGGAAAAAGAAGAGAAGGAAGGACGCAGTAACTAAAGATGGACGGAAGAAAACAAGCAGCAAGAAAACTTCTGGAAAGATCGTAGCAAATGAGCTAGGGTTTGATAAGCAAATCAAAGTTGAAATAAATTTGCAAAAATAAAAAAAAAGTGAATTACATGAGTACACGAATACTTGTGACTGCCGATTACTTTTTTCAGGTGTACTGTACTGCGCCCACTCTTGGAGCAGTTCTCGCCGCCCAGGGGTATCACTGGGTGCTCAAAGATCGGAAAAAACCGGGCGAAATCGCCGGGTAGCGCGGTATGGAATACCTATGTTACTTTAATCTTGTTGGATGTTGGTACTGTTATTTTTATGTTAATTCATTTGTGTATTGTTATCAATAAAGTTCTCCTATTGACATAATCGACTGAGTTAATAAAATTGCCTACTACACAGGTCATCAGACTGTGGGACCTCCTTTTGAAATAGATAAATAGGAGTTATCTTTTTATAAATAAGAGTTATGGTCAAGGACGACTATTGCGCACCGGTATTTTTGCCGAATGCGTCACGATGTAGTGAGTAATTGTGTATATAATGGTAGTTAATATCCGTTTGAGTTTTCATGTCCACTGCAGTATAGGTTAACGACTCCTAGTTTGAAGTATTCGTGGGAAATCTGAAATTCAAAAAGAAAATGTCAGAAATGAAATCAAGGAATTATGAAACAATTGTGGGGGAAATAAATGAGTTGAAAGTAAAAACCGAGATACTTATATTGTGACCGGTGGTGATGCAGATAATTGCATCGGCGACTCTGCCTCAAAGGTTTCCAGTCCCTGCAACGGGGAATCCCCATGCGCTCGCTACACACGTGTCCCGCACTAGGAATGCGATCTTAACAGCTTAAGTGTTATTTCTTAACAGTTGACGTTTCATAACTGTTACGCGAAATAACTGTTATTTCGTTTAACCTATCATTGACTGTTATCGCTTGAAATGCATAGTACGTATTGCAATCTATTGGGCTAAGGCGAACTACTGCAAGCTTAGCAGGCAAAACGTCTACCCCTCAACCAACGACGCGGCGTCACCCGGACAGCCTAGAAGTCATGAACTCGAGCCGCGGAAGCCTACGTGCACACCTTCATACTTATGTCCACAGTCTGAATTGAATTGAATTTGCCTTATTTTACGTGGCGAGACTCAGGCCATCATCTCTTCCGTCTGACCACGCAAAATTCGCTACGTTCCTTTCATCAACTAGCGAAGAAAGGAGGTATTTCTTGGGCGAGAAACGGGCAATTTGAATTTTGCTCAGAGGCATCATTTAGGCTTGATCTTTTACATGTCAGTAAATGTACTAACATGGGACAGCCGGCTTTACTTTTCCTCCGAATGAAGACGTACGAAGGATTTTTTCGCCCTTAAAAATCCACTGGTATAACAGTCCGGTACGATAACCGTTACATCGTCGCCGCCGCAGTCTACAATGTGGCAAGAAATTACTGTATGTACATCTGAGGCATTATTTTTCAATGTGCTATTACTAGTAAGAAGGTTTCGTTTGTCATTCGTATAACTGCTGTTTAAGCATTGCAATGAGTGAAAACGTTGTAATGGATCACACAGGCGTAATTATTCGTATAACGCGCCGCTGTGAGTCACACTATCATAGAGGGGGGGTTGCCATCACACTTAAGGTGCGATGCTCGTTTCCAGACACCAGGATGCATGCGCTGAATTTATTTAGGAGGGCGCCAAACGAATGCCTTACCTGTGATCTGGGCACCGGCGTTGAGACATCATCAGAGGTGGGTATCCTTGGTCGAAGGATTGCATTTGCTTACTGTTTATAAATACTACATGTTTTTGTGTGATCACCCGACCAAAATGACGGGGTCGCGTTGATTGCTATATAAAATTATCTTTTACATTACTGTTCCTTCTAGTACTTTACTCTGGTTATTGACTAAATGGGCGTGAACACTTACAGACATGTTGATTACTGAAATTCTACTACCTCACTCCTCGAATGGATCACACGGCCAAATATCGGCCGGCGGCAGCAGAAGACCCGTTGAAGTACCATGGGATTCTCCTGTAGTCGGCAGGAACACGTCTGTCTGAGCTGGAGATCGTCCACGGTCGTCCGCGGAATTGAAGCGTCAGTTTTTTGAGGCGCGGGTCTCAGGTCGTCATACTTCGCCTGGACCGCGTATTATCATTTGTAGGCGAATAATTGTGCTGCACACCCTCTCGTAAAATTTATGGGTGTTACTCCTACTATCCTAGCCCGGCATACACATAATATGCGTACGCACATGAGACAGTAACTAAATGACTTCTAAACAGCAGGAAACGATGATTAATAAGCTATCGAAGCTATTTCAATGAAGAGTGTTGGCAAAAACAACGCCACTAATTATTTTACTTGAAATGCTAACGGGAAGTCACCGATAAACCCATAAGTGGGAATGATGTTTGATGATTTCCTCAGCTACTTTACCCCCATTGGTCTTCCCTATGGGGTTGCCAGAACGAAGGGGATGCCTACGACCGATAACTAGACATATAATATCACTTTCTTGCATTCTGCATCGAATAGATCAAGTTACGTAATGCTGGTACACAATGTGAGAATTTGTGAGCATAATTCATATTGTAGTCCCTGATACCCAAATAGTGGATAATTCACGTTCTTTAATATACTAAATTATTTTGTCTAACACATTTTTTAGTCAGAATCCACGTTGTTTGTCCTGAATAGAGAACGGCAGTATTGCCGGCAGAACGTCTGTCTGTCTGTGAAAAGGCTACCAACTACACTATAAGCACTACTTTTACGAAAATCGATATTTTATTGATCCATATACCTGACATTGAGCCCTTCCTCTTGAAGTTGATAAAATATATATTTTAATTATTGGGAGGACCTTTCATATAGCCTCATGGACATTTTCGTTTTTATCAAAATTAGTTCCAAATATTTAGTTTACCGTAAACGTACGTATATACGGAGTAATATACGTAGTATAGGGAAGGTTACGTATTGCTGCGGAAAATCGATTTCGAGATGTCAATGGGAATACGTCTTAATGTCCCCTGATACCGAAAGAGTGTTGACTTATTTACAAAACGTCCGGCTCTCTGTCGCCCGACCGTCTGTGAACACCAGTAGCGCCTAAACCATACATAGGAATTTTTGATATTGAAGTAAACATTGTCCATCTGGCTCGAGTCGAAGCTTTGAATTTTTTTAAAAAAAATATCAGTCACGCTTTTAATATTTACATTTCCAGCAATTTGTAAACGCTCTTCCAAATGTGACTGGAAGTGCTTGAAACGACTTTATACACTTTTTTTTCGAAAACTCAATAGTTTTCTGTGAAACGAGCTTCAAATTTCGCATTTACAGTAACGCTTACACACCATTTTCTTAAAAAAACGGCTCAAAATGTTTCAATGAAAATTGTCATTTAGAACGAGGTTTTATTCTTCTTTAATATTTATATAGTCATAATTTGGTTCTACAATAAGAAAAGTGAAAATTTTTAAAATGAGAAAATTTTTAAAAAATGTACTTTGGGCGGGCATAGATGGCAGCTGGCATGAGTATGTGACAAGTCCCAATAGCTTGCCGAGACCACAGTAAATATAAAATTAATACGGAAAAGTGTGTTCCATTTCATGGTTCCACTAATGGTATTGCATCTTTTAATTGAATGCAGAAACTTACGCGTATAAAAATGACGGAAGTGGCATATTCATTGAATTTTCTTTATTTCCCAAATTTGCAAAAGCACGTCAATATTGAAGGTATAGAATTGTTCTATTAATAAAATTTGTTCTCTGTAATTAGTTATTTGAATAATAAACTGATCAATTTTTGAACATTTTGTTCATTTTGACGCGCTTTTCAGTGAAATCTTGGCAATTTCAAACAAGATCTTCTGAGAAACAGCACCTTATTTTTCATCAATTTTTATATAAGGATAGTGGCAAATATGCTAAAGCCTATGACATCTACGCCATTGTGATGTATTCTTTTGATTAAAAACCACACACTTCCGTCATTAATAATAGGGTCGGTTTAATAAATTTTATATTTAATTAATTACTTAATACATTTCCCTATTAGCACCATTATTGTTCTCATTGAAATATTTTTCAATACTAGTGGTGATATTAGCGGTAAATGTACAAAGAGAATCTATATTTTTTAACCCTCCGTTACACGCGCTGTGGTTGCAACGCGAGTACACGCGCGAGGTCTGAGAATCCGCAAACTTAAAACACTATCTTCTGCCAAGTGTAACAGCTGTTGGTGGTGGTAGTAAATGATTCTTTAAGAAAAAATAATTTTGTTCAAAAAATTGAAAATAAATCATAAAAATGCTGTCAAAAAAGCTAATAATTACGACCCCTTTTGACCTAAATTGTTTGATGAACATTTCATTTCAATATCTTGAACCGTTTAGATTAGAAAATATTAGACGTTGAGTGTTTATTGAATAACTCTCGGTAGCATCTGCAGCGACTAAGAAAGTTTTTTTCGACAAATACCGATGAGTAACCACAGCTGAGAAAGATACAGGAAGCCGCAACACAATACCTCCTGATAACTGGCAATAAGACGCCAAAATATAAGAGTACGGATAGTGGAAACGGATATCACGGAAACGGACCACGATCACTAACGAACTCAAAGAGAAAACAACATAGAACCCGAAAAACTACACCTTTAACAATGGTTTCACACAATTTCTACAGAATACGAACTCTCAATGGAAAATGTGATATTTACTAATCAAGGCCCTCTCAATCTCTCTTAATCTAGCCCTAGAAACCACGCAAAAAGAAATAAAATATGGTGTTTAGTGAAAGGAAATTTTGAGTCATATTTGAAATAGTGTGGTTCTCGTATTGTAGAAACGATGAAGAAAACTTCAATTTCTTTGCTTGGATTACTTTCTCTCAACGCTGTATGCCTTCTTACATACGTCAGTACTTCTCCAATTGCAAACGAAGATACTTTTCCAACGGGCGCACCTGTAAGTATTTACAAGAGTAGCATTATGCATTGTTGTACAAAATTAAACATACTATTCTACTATTCTTAGAGTATATGCAATAAAAGCTCTTTATGTGGACCACATGGTAAATAGGTAGACGGGTAGTTTTCTTAAAGTACATATCCATGTTCAAACTCTGCGTACGCAAACTACTATAACATGCTTGGTTAATTCAAGAACTGTTCTTCTTCAGATAATGGGTTATATACATTTGAACCACTCTTTCATTCAAATACTGA